TATTATGAAATACTTATGATTATCTGACTGAGGTCCATGCCATTACTTTTTGTTTTTAATATATTATGCATCTTTTTATGTGTCTATATTTATTCGTTTTTTTGTTTGTTTGTTTGTGTTTGTAAAACACTTTGAATTATTGTTCTTTATGAAATGTGCCATATAAATAAATTTGTGCCATACTGTTAGATTGTGTTTTGTCGATGGAGAGTCATGACGTGATTGACTTTGTGTAGGTGATGCAGGACAGAAAGGTGATAAGGGAGATAACGGAATTGGAATTCCAGGAATTTCTGGAGAACCCGGACCACAAGGTACGAGATGCTTAACCTTAACTTTCTGCTAATCATACTTTACCATCATTTAAAAGATAACGGAGTCATTGTGAAGACCAATGAAAAAAAAATGGTGCTATAAGTTATTTTCGACTTCTTACATCAACATTTTCAAAACCCTACCAGGACCAGCTGGCAAGCCTGGCATCGGTAAGGACGGTCAGGATGGGGCCAGAGGAGACGCCGGGGTGCCAGGAACCCCAGGAACCCCTGGAGCCAGAGGACCGCCGGGCACCCCTGGTCTGTGTGATCCTTCAAATTGCTTTAGGCCTCAACCTCTTTACCTGGTTGGCGGGAAGAAGTCCATCAACATCAAGGGTCCATGAACAGAAACCTAGAAACCTTCATCACAGTCATCATCAGGTAGTCCATCTCCGACAAACTTGAAGAGACTTCAGATGGCGAGCAGATGGTGAGAGAAACGAACGTGACAGATGTATGGAGACATACGGATGCAGCTCCTGATGGTGGATCCAGTTCACATGACTTATTGTTGTACCTTGTACATAAACTAGAAGAAAATGTGTTTGTGCTTTTAGATGGTTTACAGTAAATTGCAGATTAATAAATTAATTGGAAATTGTCGTTTCAGCTCTTGGGCCACAAACTGGTTACACAAACCACTACATTGCAATTCTGCAAGTGTGTTTTTTTGTTTGGTTTTTTTTTTCATAAAATGTGATTTTAAAGACCAATTTTAGACATGGTGCCAGACGTTAAGCTACGCCAACACAACGACAGTGTGATCCAACAACAGCTTGAAATAAAAGCGTTTCACCACCATGCTACCAGCGTGCAACGGTTTATTTATAATCAAAAGCTTGGATAAGAGGTTTCTGTCACCATACCTGTAGATAAGATCCACATATTATTATACAATTAGTCACAGGAAATGTGTTTCTCAAACAAGAACTGTTCTTTGTTGATGTTTTTTTAGGAAGCCGGATTATGTTACATTCCAGATTACATGCAATCTGGATTACATAATCAGATTCCAGAAATAAAGTACTTGTAATTCGAGTACATTTTAAGAAACACAATCAGATTATGCTACTTTTTTTAATAGATTACATAACACATTATTAATTCAATGACAATGCATTTATTCATTTACTCTAATTCAATTTCCTTAGGAAAACAAATCTTACCACTTGTCATGCAGTCATTTTAAGCATGTATTATATGTCAGTTAATAATCACAATTACATGCAGGTAAACAAAGTAATTCTATTTTTACTATTCAAGTGTTTGATTGTTTTTAAATGAGTGGTTAAACTAGTTGGTTGTCAACTACATATTTGAAGTTTTTTAATTAATTACAGATTGTCAAAAAAAGGAACTATTCCAAAATGACACTTTTATTGGCACGTAATCATTTAAGGTTTAATACAGGCTCTGTGTACAGCATCTATATGACATATTGTCAACCGCAACAGAAAATTCAATAATTTCCACTCACATAGGGTTTAAAATCATGTGACTGCATTGTCATTAAAGTACCTAGGTTTTCCATAGAATTTGTCAATGGACAAATAAGGGCTTTGCACAAATGGTGGTACGTGATTGTAGCAATCTTATTGCAAGTCAATGGTAAGTGCACTACTGTGATACTTATAAAGATCATTCAAGGAAATAATTCTGAATTTTGAAGCGTTTAAGAAAAAGAAGCTCACTTAACTTACTTAGCCATATAGTATTAAACTGATTAAGACAGATATGAAAATCGCATAGATTTTTTTCCCCCAATGAAACATACATTTTCAAAATTCTTAACAAAAAAGTCCTTTTAGATTTGATCATTCATGTTTTGTTCATTTAGACTGTTTTTCAGGAATAAAACATGCAAACTTGTAAATTCATTACTGAAGAGAACTGTATATGGTATAAACTTGATTTTTCTCTCACAATAAGAACCCAATTCTAGTAAATGGACCTGATCCAGTCTTTATTGACACACACACGCTCTCCCCACACATACACATACATCAACCTAACTAAGATTAACTGTAGCACCACAGAATCAATATAAACAAGTGGATTATACCATGCATAAATTATACTATTTTACATCACCTGCACCTGTAGTTCATTAGAATAATTTAATGCAACTTGATATGGAAAAACAAATACAGTCATTATCGGCTTGAAGAAGCCAAACTAACAGGAGGATACGAAGTCAAAAAGAAACTATATTTGAATAAAGTGGAGGAGAACATGATAGCAAAGCCGATAGCAAGTATTTCTCTGGCCTGCATCAAAAAAGCAAGATTAATTTACATAAATTTGCATCTGTAATAAGCTCAGCTTTTCCAAATACATCATCAAAACATAATCTCTAGTGATTCTTGAAGGCAGGGCATGGAAGGACAAAATAAAAATAAAAAAATCATAAAGTGTGTATATAATACTCATTGCTAAGAGCTTTATCGTGGTCATTGAATTAGAAGGTAAACAACAAGTCTATACAGTATCACATCTGGTTTTGCATTCAAATATAATTAATCAACATATTCAAATCATTCTTATCCACTAATGATGCTGTAAATGATTTCAGCCATTTTGCTAACATTCCATACATAATCTATCTTTAAAAACCTCACCCTGCAACGACAGAACATGCAAAATGATGGGGAAAGTAACTTTCTGATTGTCTGAAAAAACAACAACAACAAAAAAAACCCACTCCCTCTTTCAGAGACACCTATCTGTCAGGTTAGTGTTGGAATAAAAAATATAAAAAATTAAATAAAAAAGAATAAAATTAAATAAAATTAAAAATTAAAAAATTAATAAAAAAAATAACTAAAAAAAATAAATAAATTAAATTAAATTAAATTTTAAAAATGAAATAGTAAAAGAGTATTAGCTTTTGCAACAAAGGTTAAAGCTCTACGACAATTTCATTCAAAAAATATGATGTAATACTTGTGCAATAATACTGAAAAGGAAAACAAAGAACGGGGGAAAAAAACTAACATTTAGGCAATAAGACTGAAAGTCAATCTTGTTTCTTTTGGATATTACAATTTCTGTCAAGTGATCTTAAAAACAACTACAATATTCTGACATAAAGCTATTCTTGACCTCACTGATGCTACAATGCCCGTCTGTTGAAGATGAATTGCATCCCTGTTTGTGGGCTGAAGAGAGTTCGTTTTGAAGCAGTCTCTCCTCTTTCAGTGGCTTTAATTGGCTTGCAGGGGAGCAATCTGCAGGATCGATCCATCTGAGTGCTTTAGTGACACAAATGATAGTACTGCTTTAACTAGGACTTTTGTGTTCCAGAACTTCCATAACAACCAACGCAATGGTGTTTTGAAAAGAAGTGCTGCACAAAATTATTTCAGATGCATTATAAGTGGCGTCAGTCATGTGTATTTACACAGTGACAGCCTTTATGACAAACCAGCCATGTTAAACTATCAAGCAGCTGCCTTTCAGTCATCACAAACACGAGTTTAATTATCCGAAAAAAAAAAAAAAAGCAAGTTATTTACCAAATGCACGGCTACAAATGAGATATATCTTACAAAACGTAGACTAAAAAGAGCATAAATGCAGTTCTCCATCACCTCCAGGATCTCTAATGATCCTTATCGAGATTTCCTATTGATGAGTGGAAAAGTGTCCCACTGTGTTCTCCCAGAACATCAATAAAACTCAAGTAGAGAATTCCCCAGACTTCCTGACCTGCTACAGACATCACTAACAATAGATCGACTCTATTAAAACGCCGTCAGCAGAACTCGAGAGTGGGCGGCACAATTGTGTCATTATGAGATCACGTAAGGTAACAGGAATTCTCATCCTGTTACACGGAAAGCCTCGAAAGTCTTGACTTGAAGTAAATGACCTTGACGTTGAGCTTAAACCAACCCCACCTTTAATAAAAAGAAATAACCAACTCTGACCGGAAGGACACTAGAGGGCTTTTCACACTTAAAACTGTTAACCAAGGGCCATTTTAAACCCTGGGTTAGTAAGATTCACACTATAGCGGGTTAAAAATCAATCCTGGGTTTCACATTCTACATTATTAAAACCTTGGGTTAACATTCTTAGCATACAGTATATATGAGGTTAAATTCATTGATTGGGCAAGTACAGTACTCAAATTTATTTTATTAACAAACATTTTTTGTCTCTATTTAGCATGTTTAGCTATCTTTCAGACACTGTAACTAAAAATGTTGAAACCCAGATTTTTGGAGCAATTAATTTCAGTCACGTTTTAGTTATTTTTCAAGCTATTTATGATTAGTGGATAAGGATTTTCACTGAAATGTCAACTTCATTTTAAATAACTTTGAACAGTTGGTGAACCAGCTGAACGGATTCATTGAGAAAATATTTAAAAAAGAATTCAAAAAACAAAATTTATTTAAAGTTCATAATGAAAATGTATATTCGCTGTAGAAATGTCCCTAATATTTCCATGGTTTCTTAAAGTCTGGCGATATATATATTAGGTAGGTCTCTATTACATACATTTTCCATGGGCAAAAAAAGAGAATCATCATTTTTTGTGTTTGTTGTATATATTTTATGATTAATATCTTGCTAAACAAGCATTGTTTTGACCTTTAGCACCACTATTCAGAGTCAATCCTGCTCGAGATAAACTTCATAACCCGGAGCTGAAAGTGCTAATGCTACATGCCAACACCTTTTCAAAACCTAAAGTGTGAAACGTTGCTTAACCCAGGATTAAAAGTGGCCTTAACTCAGGGTTCAATAACACATTAGCTGTAGTGAAAAGCCTATGACAAGCACACGTATAAACACACGCACACACACACACACACACACACATTCACTCACCTCTCAGACTCTGTAGTCCTCCTGATGTTAAAGAACATGTTCTTGGCTTACTGAATGTTCAAGTTCATAATAGGTGTTTGCCCAGGACAGTGAGTGTATTAAGTCCCCTTAACATTTTTGGTGTGAGGTCTTGATGCCAGACTGGCGTAGTAGGCACATTGTGAGGGGTCACACTGCCCTGGCGGTCCAGAGGGTCCGGGCTGACCGTGAGGACCAGGATTACCAGGCTCTCCCTGAGCACCTGCGGCTCCAGGAAGACCGTCTTTTCCATATCCCGGCATACCTGCAGGACCTGTGGTGCAAATACAGTCTCAGCTGCTGTTCATCATTCCAACAATCACAATTTATCCCAAAAATAGTAACGAGTAGAATGGTCTTATAAATAGGTCTTCATTTTATATATACAATTTTACATTTACACTTAGTCATTTAGCAGACGCTTTTATCCAAAGAGACTTACAAATGAGGACAATAGAAGCAATCAAATTAAGCACATTTCTCTCCAAAATCCTCATTACTGTAATGCAAAAAACACATTTTTATTACTGCCCTCTGTAAAGAAAATAAAACTATTTAAAAATATTAGCATTAAAGGTGGATATTGATGTCAATGCAATCTTTAAGATCCCTTTTTCCATTTTAGGTTGGACTTGGGCGTTTTCTTGACAGTTTTCATGAGATTCATCCAGATACATCATCTGAGTCAATGCAAACTTGAGCACTGATGACCAAATGGTCTTACCCATGGGACCAGTTGGACCAAGCTCTCCTCTCTGTCCAACACCATCCTCTCCCTTCTCACCTCTAGCACCTCGTTCACCTGAAAAAAAAACAACAAAAAGGAAAATTATGGGTGGGGGTTAAAAGGTTAATCATCAAGTATTAGAACTAAAATACACTACAGTCACACAGTTATACTGTGAAATATTATTAAAATGTATTAATTAATTGTAATATATTTTAACATGTAATTAATCCCTATGATGGCAAAGCTGGATTTTCATCAAATCATTAAAATATGCTGCTTTGGTGCTCAAGAAATATTTCTTATTATTATCTATGTTAAAATAGTTGAGCTGATTAATATATCTGTGGAAATCGTGATATATTTTTTTTCAGGATTCTTTGATGAATATAAAGTTAGAAAGAACAGCATTTATTTAAAATGTGTTAAAGTGTAAGTCTTTACTGGCACTTTTGATTAATTAAAAATAGCATACATATGTGCAAAATATTATCTCGAAAGAAAAATCTTTAGATAAGTCACTATTTTTTTAAGCATTACATTACAAACATTTTTTTAGAAAGTAGAATTAAATTCTGCATTTTGTAAATTATTTTCTTTATTTTTATTTCTTTAATTGACATCCAAAATGTTCCATTTGTGGCCCCTAGAGATCTCTCGACCCATGCTTTAATAGACAAACAAGCTTTTGCTTTTGTCAAGGTGCAAAAATGAATGCAAATGCAGATCTCAGTCCATTAAACCGCGTGGCCATGCATATTGACGCGATACTATGAAACTTACAGGATTTCCTTGAGATCCAGGCTTGCCTGCTTGTCCAGGTTCTCCAGGCTGACCCTAAAAATACAAAAACAGAGTGACCCAAAAGAATAATCACACGGGTGCGGTTTTGTTTTGCAATTCAATTGGTTCATCAAAAGCCTCCTCACGGGCTCCCCTCGTGGTCCTCTCATGCCCTCTGGCCCCAGTGGTCCGGTTTTACCCTGGGAGAATCAAGTACACCAATTAAAACCCAACACCATCTGCTCGCAGCGGTCAGGTTTACAGTGACCTCTGCACAACACAGATTGCATTTACTCACATCTTTCCCAGGTGGACCCTCGCGTCCAGGAACACCCTGTTTGCCATCTTCTCCCTAATATGACATGACAGCATTTATTAAACAGAACCCATGAAGTTTCTGCATGATTTAAGGAGCATGTATTAGTCCTGTAGTTCCCTATCTCTGAATACTGGATGTACTGTATCGCTGGGTATGAATTTGAATTGGCATTGACTAACCTTTGACCCTGGTGGTCCTGGTTCCCCTCTGTGACCTTTGAAACCCTGGAAAAAAAAAAAAAAAAGATGTGAACATTTCAGCTTATAGGTGCAGATAATAAGGCACACCTTAGATTAGGCAACACATATTCCTTATTAACTAAGAGATTTTCCCCTCAATAAACTCCTAATTTGCTGATTTTTGATAATAAGTAAGGTAGTTGTTGCAATATCTGGATCTTCTATAATATGGTCATGCAGAATAAGGCATTAATAAATGCTTTATAAGTAATAATAAACTGTGAATATGCTAGTAATATACATGCTAATAAGCAATTAGTTAATAGCGATTAATGTTCCCTAATCTAAAGTGTCAAGGTATAACAGCCCTGGCAGTCTAGTTTTATCCAGAAAATCATCTGTAATCACATCACTCACAGGCATTCCTCTGAGCCCGTTTCTTCCTGGTGGTCCTGACTCTCCCTGTTTGCCCTGAAAAAGAAAATTTAAATGATTATGTTTTTACATTGTTTCTGTATATACAGAACTAAGTATTGTTAGGATGTTGGCATGCATGCAGTACATCAGACTCATACCGGCTCTCCTGTTTCTCCTGGTCTTCCATCCTTTCCAGGTTTACCCATCAGGCCCTTCAGCACAGAATATGAAGTATCAGTATAGCTTGATGGAGTTATTAAACTTATTCTTCAATTACACTAACCCAAAAGTTTAGTGTCAGTAAGATTTTTATAATTTTTTTTGGAAAGAAATTAAATACATTAATTTAGCTAGGATGCACTAAACTGATCAAAAGTGACAGAAAATACTTTTACATTTTTACCTTTTTTATTTCAAACAAATGCTGTTGTTTTATCCATCAAAACATGATGAATTAAAATCATGGATTCCACAAATTTATTAAGCATTGATAATAATATGAATATGAAATGTTTCTAAATCAGCATATTAGAATGATTTCTGAAGGATCATGTGAAACTAAAGACTAGAGTCATGGCTGCTGAAAATTCAGCTTTGCATCACAAGAATAAATTACATTTTAAATTATATTCAAATAGAAAACACTTATTTTGAATTGTAATAATATTTCAAAATGTATGTTTTACTGTGTTTTTGATCAAATAAATGCAACATTGGTGAGCATAAACATTTTAAAATCTTACCAACCCCAAACTTTTGAACCGTAGTGTATTTGTACTAAAAAAAATGTACAGACATTTTTTAAAAATTATGAAATTACACACCATTAGACCTGGAAGACCAGGTGGTCCCTGAATACCCTGAAGTCCTTCTTTACTCTGGTAAAACACAATCAGTTATCAATAACGTGGCCGGATTCCAGTCTTGCAATCCATCCAACTAATACACATTCAAATGACAGAACAAAAAAACTTTAGCCTTGCCTTTTCTCCAGGAGCTCCAGGTGGTCCGATAGGTCCAGGGTTTCCATCATTACCCTATTGATACAGCAAGATGTAAGATTTTTCAGTATAGCTATACAGTCTCAATAAGTGGCATTTTAAAATACTCACAGGCTGACCCATAGCTCCTGCGGCCCCTGGATAACCAGGAGGTCCTGGGGGGCCCTGGGAAAATACAAATCAATGAGAGAAAGCTGTGGTATAATGATAAATAATCACGGTATGTCAAATGTAATATGTATTATATGTATATTCAGCCTATTTATGATGAAAATGGTAGGCTGACAATACCTTTTCACCTTTATCTCCAGATGCTCCTGAAGGACCTCTGTCTCCTTTGACCCCCTGCAATGGAGCCAAATATAAATGGTTATTATACAAAAAAATTCTCAAGCGGAGAGTATAAAGGTCATGTAATGATGCAATGTTGTCAGATGACATGCATTTGACACATAAATGGCTAGTGAACCTATTATTGTGATCAATGAGACAAGGTTCTTTGAATGTGAACTGGTTTGTAGGTAGACTTGAAGAACGTGCATTTGTACTGTAATATGTGATTGTGTCGTCAACATTCTAACCTTGGCTCCATCAGCACCAGGTGGTCCTGCAGGCCCTGTTGGCCCAGGAGGACCCTGCCAAAGCGACCAGTTTATTAAATGTTCATTATTCCATTAATTAAACTTCAGTTAATTTCCAATTCCATTAAGTTTAAAGATGAAAGTGAGAGTTTGATTTCTGAATCATGCTCTCTCACCGCATATCCCTCCTGTCCGTTTTTCCCAGGTGGTCCAGTATGACCTTTTTCACCTGGAGGTCCTGGCATACCTGGTTGTCCAGCTGGTCCAGGGGGACAATCTGAACAAATGTCCTGGGAAAGAGAGAAAGGCAAAGTTGCAATATTAGGATGGATGGATGGATGGAAGTTTTTTATTGTTGGATGGATTGAGGGTTGGGTTGATGATGAATGAATGGATAATTGGATGAATGGAAGAATGATTGTGTGATTGGATGGATGGAGGGTTGGTAGTTTGGATGTAAGGATGGATGGTTAGATGGAGGTTTGAACTGTTGGATCAATGGATGGATGGATGGACAGAGGGAGCATTGATGGATGAATGGAAAGGATGATTGTATAAATGAATGGATGATTGGATGAATGGAAGAATGATTATGTGATTGGATAGATATATGTTTGGATGGTTTGATGGATGGTGGATTGGTTAGTTGCATGTATGGATGTATGGATGGATAGAGGGCTGGATGGAGGTATGAATTGATGGATAGACAGATGGATGGATGATGGTGTGATTGGATAGATAGACGTTTGGATGGTTTGATGGATGGTGGATTGGTTGGTTGTGTAACCAATGTCACCGATGCTAATTCTGCAACACACACTTATCACTCGGGATCGACAGCAGAAGAAACACTCACACACATATGCACAGAAAAAAAGGGAAGAAAGAAGAAAGAAAAAACCCGGCCAAGGAGAAAATAATCCATATAAAGAAAAGGGAAAAAAATAAGCAATTCTATTAAACACGTTGCTTCCGCTTCTCTTTGCGCAAATCTTCCTTTTAATCTACTTAAAAGTATCAAGACTAAAATCTTGTGTTCAATACAATCCAATTTCAAAAGTTTCACACTCAATTTATATGTTTATCTCTTATTATCTGAGCTCTGTAAAGCAAACGCACTCGTTTGATTTCTCTCACATCTTCTCTCTAACGATCTCTAGGGGCGGGACTAACCTCTAGCTTCATCCAATCAGCGATCTCAGATTACTCTGACTAGTTTCAATTTGGATAAAATAAAATATTTTTTTTATCAATCTCTCTTATTATTGGTATAACATTTTGAGTAGCGTTGAGGATATTGGATGTATGGATGTATGGATGGATAGAGGGCTGGATGGAGGTATGAATAGATGGATGGACAGATGGACGGATGGATGGAGAGTTAGATGGATGAATGGATGTTTTGATGGATGGTGGATTGGTTGGTTGCATGTATGGATGTATGGATGGATAGAGGGCTGGATGGAGGTATGAATAGATGGATGGACAGATGGACGGATGGATGGAGAGTTAGATGGATGAATGGATGTTTTGATGGATGGTGGATTGGTTGGTTGCATGTATGGATGTATGGATGGATAGAGGGCTGGATGGAGGTATGAATAGATGGATGGACAGATGGACGGATGGATGGAGAGTTAGATGGATGAATGGATGTTTTGATGGATGGTGGATTGGTTGGTTGCATGTATGGATGTATGGATGGATAGAGGGCTGGATGGAGGTATGAATAGATGGATGGACAGATGGACGGATGGATGGAGAGTTAGATGGATGAATGGATGTTTTGATGGATGGTGGATTGGTTGGTTGCATGTATGGATGTATGGATGGATAGAGGGCTGGATGGAGGTATGAATAGATGGATGGACAGATGGACGGATGGATGGAGAGTTAGATGGATGAATGGATGTTTTGATGGATGGTGGATTGGTTGGTTGCATGTATGGATGTATGGATGGATAGAGGGCTGGATGGAGGTATGAATAGATGGATGGACAGATGGACGGATGGATGGAGAGTTAGATGGATGAATGGATGTTTTGATGGATGGTGGATTGGTTGGTTGCATGTATGGATGTATGGATGGATAGAGGGCTGGATGGAGGTATGAATAGATGGATGGACAGATGGACGGCAGAAAAAAAGGGAAGAAAGAAGAAAGAAAAAACCCGGCCAAGGAGAAAATAATCCATATAAAGAAAAGGGAAAAAAATAAGCAATTCTATTAAACACGTTGCTTCCGCTTCTCTTTGCGCAAATCTTCCTTTTAATCTACTTAAAAGTATCAAGACTAAAATCTTGTGTTCAATACAATCCAATTTCAAAAGTTTCACACTCAATTTATATGTTTATCTCTTATTATCTGAGCTCTGTAAAGCAAACGCACTCGTTTGATTTCTCTCACATCTTCTCTCTAACGATCTCTAGGGGCGGGACTAACCTCTAGCTTCATCCAATCAGCGATCTCAGATTACTCTGACTAGTTTCAATTTGGATAAAATAAAATATTTTTTTTATCAATCTCTCTTATTATTGGTATAACATTTTGAGTAGCGTTGAGGATATTGGATGTATGGATGTATGGATGGATAGAGGGCTGGATGGAGGTATGAATAGATGGATGGACAGATGGACGGATGGATGGAGAGTTAGATGGATGAATGGATGTTTTGATGGATGGTGGATTGGTTGGTTGCATGTATGGATGTATGGATGGATAGAGGGCTGGATGGAGGTATGAATTGATGGGTGGACGGATGGATGGATGGACGGACGGATGATTGTATGACTGGATGAATGGAAGAATGGTTGGATGGAGGTTTGGATTGCTGGATGGATGGAGAGTTGGATGGATGAATGCATGACTGTGTGATTAGAAAGCTAGAAGGATGGTTGGAGGGACAAATTGATGGTTGGATGGATAGTGGGTTGGTTGGTTGGATGTATGGATAGATTGTTGGATGGATGGATGGATGGATGGAAGGATGGTTGGAGGTTTGGATTGTTAGATGGATGGATAAATGAATGGATGGTTTGATGGATGCAGGGTTGGTTGGTTGGATGTATGGATGTATGGTTGGATGGAGGTTTGAATTGTTGAACGAATGGATGGATGGAAAGGATGACTGTATGACTGGATGGATGCATGGCTGTTACCTTCAGGTTCAGATCTGAAATGTCTGCAGCTTTTCCCTAAAACAAGTTGGAAAACAAAAATCCACTGAAAAAACCTATTCATAAATCACAACCCACGCATTTATGATCCATCAGCAGCAGGTGAATATTAATAGTGTCAGCTGATTTGATATTTAAATGGCGAACAGAGCGAACACTCACTGGATCTCCAGGGGAGCCCTTCTCTCCAGGTCTTCCTGGTAAACCCTGCAGGTAGACACACATTCATAAGCCATGACTGCTGCTGCTGATCCTCACCACAGTAAAACACATTCAAACCTTGTTAGTCACAAACTGACACTGAATCCCTGAGACGACTTAACTGTGATCCACAGCAGTGCAGTGAAACTGGTTTAGTTCTGCATCATGACTGGAGATTGAAAAGTAAAGCTCATTGTCATTGTACAGGCAAAATAAAATTAGTGCTAAGGTGTTTTTTGCATGTTGCTAGAGTGTTCTGTAGTACAAGAACAAATCCCTAACTATTAATAAGCAATATTAATAGCATTGCTTGCAATAGTGAGCATCATTTACTTTAGCAAATCATTAAAATCTGTCAAATCGACCAATAATGGTGACAAATATTGTTCATTTTATCCAATAAAATGTTCTCTAGAATGAGAATATCAAATCTCCCTGAATTATAACCACAACCTGACTAGCATTAGTATGTAGCTAATTACAGTTTGTATTTGGTTGTGTGCTGTGCAGTTCTGCAAACACATTTGAAAGTACTGATGCAAAACAAAACAACTTGATGTACCCATGTATATGATTCTCTTATCCCTTCACTACTGGTGTAGCATATAAATCTTACATTGTGTCCAGCGGGTCCCTGTGGTCCGCTCACTCCTGGAGGTCCTCTCAAACCCTAAATATCAAACATGACATGTCACTTAAGGGTGTTCTGTGAGCGTCTATTTTGAAAGTGATATAAATATGAACAGACTGTTTACCGCTAGTCCTTGTGGCCCTGCAGGTCCAGGAGGCCCCTGAGAAAGACACAGAATATCAATCAGATGTGAGATAAAGAAATGTGCATTTGTCTTCAAATCGACACTAAATATGGTCTGAAATACTGTAAATGGAAAATTCACATAAGCTTTCACATTACAGTATGCATGCTTTTATATGCATGTGCTTGTAAATATGCATGTTTTTCTGTACATATGCCATCTGTTTGCTTTAGTTTGACCAGTTGAACTGGTATCAATACCTTTTCCATATGCAAATTAAAAAGGTCGGTTTTCGGCCATATGGACATTCTGGAGTCATTTGAGTTACTAACACTAACATGTGAAAATGACTGCATTTTGATTGGATATTTCAATGGCAGGATGAGCAGATAAACAGCCATATGACTGAGTTATATATATGTGTGTGTGTGTGTGTGTGTGTGTGTGTGTGTTTCCATACATCGGGTCCAGTGGTTCCCTCTCCCGGTGGTCCTCTATTTCCTGGCATCCCCTGCATTCCCTGTGCACCAGGTAAACCCTGGAACACAAAATAAAAAGGAATCAACATGGAAGAATAAACAGCATCCCCCTTCCAATAGAAAGATGATGGCTCTGTGTATTGCTGTATAAGATATTGTGACTCTAATTTCGATATATATTGTAATGCATATACAGATAGATAGATAGATAGATAGATAGATAGATAGATAGATAGATAGATAGCCTGGGGTCAGTAAGATTTGTTAAATGTTCATGAAAGAAGTCTCTTATGTCTCTTTTAGGAAGGCTGTAATTTATGGATCAAAAATAAAGTATATTGATTTGGTTCTCAAGAAATATTTCTTATTATTGTCAACATTGAAAAAAATTGTGCTGCTTAATATGTTTGTAGAAACTGTGACACTTTTTTTTTGGATTCAGGATTTTTTGATGGTAAGAATGTTTAAAAGATCAACTTTTATTTAAAATAGAAATCTTTTATAACATTATAGATATTTGCACTGTCACTTTTGATCAATTTAACGCATCCTTGTTGAATAAAACTAATTTGTTTGAAATGTTTTTAACAGACCCTAAACTTTTGAAAAGGAGTGTGTATCCAGGATTTATTAAGCCTTACGTACAGTATATAGCACTGGTTGCTAAAGTACAGTAGCAAAATACATATCTGATACTTTTCTCGAGGAAAACTTGTCTGGCTCTCTGAAATTTCAGTAAAATCATCACATAAATGAAATGCAGTAATTCAGCTTTTGCCCCTGGGGAAACACACACCTGCTTATGATAAAAATACCTAAAAGGCCTTTCATGCTGATGAAGTCTGATTCTTTCTTTTAACAAGATAAAACTTGTGAAAGAAGTTTCATTACCTTCAGTCCGGGAGGTCCTGATGGACCCGGAGGTCCAGAATCACCCTGTAAATAAAGAAAGCAGATTACTGCTGTGATGCTACTTTCTCTATTTTCACTATATTTCCTTTCCCTCTCACAAAGTCATATGCAGTTTATGTTTATGTTATTCCAAGACTTCTGAAGTCATATCACAGCTTTGTGAGATGAACAGAATAAAATTTAAGTCATGTCTTAAATCAACAATAATGTTTGATTTGGTATTAATGATACAACAGACAAAACTTTCAGTAAATAATAACATTTTTATTCATTTGATTATTATATATGTGTTAATGTGCCTGTATGTATGTTGGGGAGATTGTAGATGTGTGTGTGTGTGTGTGTACTGGTTTATATATTCTGGTGGGGACTTAAACCTGACTACACACAGACTCATGGGGACTCGTGTCACGGTGGGGACCTAAATTGTGGTCCCCACGGGTACAAAAGCTTAAAATTCATACAGAATTAAGTTTTCTGAAAATCTAAAAATGCACAAAGTCTCCTGTGAGGGGTAGGTTTAGGGGTAGGGTTGGTGTAGGGCAATAGAATATACGGTCTGTACAGTATAAAAACCATTACGCCTATGGAGAGTCCCCACAAGGATAGCTGACCAGACATGTGTGTGTGTGTGTGTGTGTACAGCTAGAAAAATAAGGCATGCGTAGCTATAAAACAACACCAGTTCCCCAGTCACACCAGCAGCCACGGTTCAATTAGTTTAATGTGTGGTTGTTTTATTCTCCACAATTCAGTGTTTTTGACCACAGCAAATATAAATGGAAAATTTAGAGTAAACAACTTTCAGATTCTCCAGAGGACTAGACGTAAACACAATGCTTATTAAATGCAATTTTACACGCTCATGGCAGGAAACTGTAAAACAAGAATGAAACAAACTGCATGCTCTTTTCTTTTAAACCTAATTGGCTAGTAGCTTTGAGAATCCACATGGAACATTTGTAACAAATTTTAGCAAAGTTAAACTATTCAATAATATGTTTGATGTTATCAGACTGATGAATACATTACCTTTGGTCCCTCTTTGCCTTTTCCTGGCAAACCAATTTCTCCTCTTAAACCAGGCTCACCAGTTGGACCAGGGGGTCCAGGGGGACCATATTTACCAGCATCTCCCTGGCGGGATATAAAGAACCATTTTAGACAGGGTGAATTATGATTATGGTTCATAATTACATAAACTTGAGTTAGAGTAATTCATAGATGCTTGGTGTAAAATGACACAACATATCCAACAAAACGTCCACACCAAAAACTAGACTTGCCAGTTTCTTTTAGTTTTACATATAGTTTATTTCATTAGTTCACTTTCATACCTTCTCTCCTCTCTGTCCAGCAATACCAGGTGGACCGATGCTACCTGGAATACCCTGAAAAAAAAAACAATATGTCTAAATTATAAAACTTAAAATTTCCATAAATATTTGCTTTTATAAGTTCTAATTACAAAATGAGATGAGTAAAATAAAAAAATGGCATGCACCTGTTTAAATGAAAACAAAAAAACAAAATTGTAATATATCTTGTATTTTGGATGTCAGGAATTTTTCAAGAACGTACCACATTGCCTGGTAGCCCTCGGAGCCCCGGAGGGCCAGGCAATCCGGGAGGACCCTAAAGAGAGTGAAGAGCATGACAGTGAAAAGTTCTGAAAACAATAAAAACATCATGTGTGATAAGAAGACAAACTCACTGGGTCTCCATGTCTCCCTGCCTCTCCTTTTTCACCAGCATCACCCTTAGGGCCCTGTCCACACAAACAAGAGAAAGACATCAGACAGTCGTGTGTGGAATACAAAAGAAACATCTCAATTGCTCTAAAAATCACTGACTTTCTCACAGATATGACTGGAATATGAAGGTACAGGATTAACAGTGATCATCCTATTCAGTAGACTGTCTCATGTGAATGAAAGCAAGTCAGATGTATTGTAAAACAGCTGGTTAAGATGATGCTTCTGGTTTACCGCAGGTCCCGGATGTCCTCTGAATCCCTGCTCTCCAGGAAGTCCTCTTTGACCCTGGAAATATCAGAGAATATGAAGGTTATCAGATCATTTTTTAATAAAAGGTATGCTATAATACCTTCAAAGTGTGTATATGTATAATTCAAAAGGATAGTCCACTTTCATGCCATTCCAAAACAAATACAAAACAAATGTCCATACTATGCAAGTCAATAGGAAATTAAACATGTTGGTTACCAACATTTTTTCAAAATATCTTCTTTTGTGTTTCACAGTCATATAGGTTTGAAACAACATGTATATGACAGAATTTGAACTAACACTTTAACGTCTGTCTTTTTTTTTTTCTTTTTTTTTTGCCATTTAAACACTTTCTTGGTGACTTTGTAATCTCCTTTCACAAAGTTTCCAGAAATGAAACCTGGCTCTAGTTTTAGATGTCGTCAAGGCAGTTTCTCTAGCAGATATGATTGCATTTGGCTGAACTAGGGAGAACTGCAGTAATTCAGGAGAGATTTCTCATTTCACACTAATAAATTCAGGTGAGAGCAGATACATCACCGTAACAAGCTTGTCTGTGTTTATATAAATGATGCATCGCTTGGTGTCTGGACTACTTTAGTAGATGAGAGCATGATGGAGAGAGCTTTCATACATTCAATTTTTAATATAATATAAAACAATATAATACCTAATAATATAATAAAATGTAATGTAATATACCTTGAGTAGCTGCCCAGAAAAAAAGTATTAATGTAGGAGGCTGAAGATGGGCAGGTCATGATGTCAATATAGAGGAAGTGACCTGATGAATTATTAATTAGCCCACACGTTTTCAGTCATGTTACCTAATTAATATTCAAATATTCCAAACTTATGATATTTATAAACTGATGTCCTGTGCAGATGTAGTTGAGTTGTCTGGAATTTTAGACTTATTTGCTTTATTTTATCTTTTAATATTATTAGTCAAGGGATCAAAAGCAGAGAGCAAAAAATCTCATTTTGGATGTGTCAAAACCAAAATGTCAACGATTTAGAATCAATAAATCATTATTAAGTTTTAACAGCTACAGTAAATCTGTAAATAACACATTGCTTGGCCATCTTCCTGCAATAGCACTAATCTGTGGATAGATGCATGGGATCTGCTTTTTTAAAGGGTTAGTTCACCCAAAAATGAAAATTAGCCCATGAATTAGAACACAAGAATAGTCCTAGGGCTAGCGTAGGTCAACGATCGGCAGACAGAATCACAGGGGCGAGACGAGAGGGATAAATCCAGGGAAACAGGCAAGGATCAGAAACCGAGAAAACAGGCAAGGCCCTTGGTTGATAGATGCAAAACAAGGAAACACAGAGACTCGGAACAGGGTACAGGCTAAACAATACTCAGCAGAGAATGGTAGTTTGAGTGAGTGTTATATAGTGAGTGAGTGATATGAAACAGCTGTGGAATCAGTGAAACAGCTGTGTGCAATCAGTGCAATGAATGATGGGATATGTAGTCAGGGGTGATATGCAACAGTTTGTGTTGTGCGAGAGTCAATGTAATGAAAGGGTGACCTCTGGTGGTGATTGAACGGAAGTCCATGGACAGGATTCGTGACACAACAGAGGTACATAATATCATCTGACGGGATGCGATGCCCTGACCTTCAGGTTTATTAATATTCCCTTGTGCAGCTCTGAATCCCTTAATATCTATTGTCAGCTAATGCGTAAAACACTTGAAGTGGCTGTTCTCAGAAATGAAATGCACATATTCCACTGTTCCTTTTCAGGTGGATTTGATTCTTCAAACTGACAGCAGACTTCATTTGTTTGCATTATGAATGCACTAGTGACAGTAACGTGATGTTATAAATGAAATAATTTTCACAGGCACAAGAGACTAGTAATTCAACCAAACCTGACTCTCTACTGCCCTCTTGTGATGGGTTGTACAACCTGCAAGGGTTCCTTTATTACACATACAATTAATTTGGAAGTTAGAAACAATAAAAGCTCACCATCTCGCCTGGTTTTCCTTGATCTCCTTTCTCTCCCTTCTCTCCTGGCTTACCCTAAAGATAAGGTAAAAACAGTGAATATACATTAATGCAAATCAGGTAAAATATCTGGTTCATTATGATACAACGGCCCCCAAAAGTATTTCAGAGCTTAGAAATAAATGCATTAAATGACAAAATATCAAACCAAGTGGCATTTAGTTTCAAGAAAGACAGCACAAGCACACTTTAAGCAAAATGTGTAAGATGCTTATGTTAATAGATGTACTCAAAATATGATATATAATACAAAATATACTTGATTACTCAAAATAAGCTCAAAATCAAGACAAAACTGATGACTTACCGGTTCACCAGGTTCAGGAATCACATTGGCCACCTAAAGAAAAAGAAAACACATCACTGTGAAATAATACTGTAATACTATGAATTGAAAGCCATATTCATCAATAAATAGATCATCAGCTGAATCAATACATGATTAAAAATATACATATATATGAATATGCCACTTCTACACTCATTTATCTGATTTATTACTCACATCAGATATCAGCTATTATTATTATCATTACTTAAATCATCTATAATTGTATATTTATATAGTTACATGTTTGTATATCGTATATGTCAATGATCAGCTGTACTCACATTGCCTGGGACCCCGGCTGGACCCCTGGGGCCAATCTCACCCTGTATGAATCAAAAACAGTAACAGAGGTTATATCCTCATCCTGTCAGCATGTTAATTATCTCATTAATGACCTCATGCCCTCAGGAAACCATCTCTGACAGTTTAATCCTGAATGTGTGAAACCTACAGCAACTCATGGTCAAAAACGGCTTCTCTAAGCCTTCTTTACTGTAGAATGCTGTAATGTTGATACAGCAAAAGTCATTACACAGATGTGACTTGTAGGCAATTGTGCATTTAAACAAAATTAGTCTTATAAACAAATTAAGAATGAGTAGGTGTCGATTTTAGTCATATTAAATAATCATAACTATGAAATCACTAGGCACACAAACATTCAATAGGAGTTTTCAGGTTCTTAAAAGCATTACATCTAAATGTATCAAAAACCCAGTACATTAACATTGCAAAACAGTAACATTGTAAAATATTGCAACATTTTAAAAGAACATCCCTCAGAAATCATTCTAATATGCTGATTTGCTGCTGAAGAAACATTTCTTATTATTATCAATGTTGAAAATGGTTGTGCTGCTTAATAATTTTGGATCAAAAGAACAGTATTTATTTGAAAAATAAATCATTTTTAACATTATAAATATTATCTTTACTGATGTGCATCTATAAAACTATTAATTTGATCATATATACGTTTCAACATATATACTGTATGCCCTAATGTTTCAACATATGTTAAACATTTGTATTCATATATTTTATATATAAATAATATATAATATATATATGTACATTTCAATAATTTAAGCATAAGCCTATATATTACATTTTATTTTATTTTTTTATATATACAACAATTTCATTAACTCTAACTGTGTACAATCTTTTGACCAATATTTCATGACAAAATAATCACTATCTGCATTTTTAAACTTTCTCTTGCTTCTCACCTTGTCTCCTTTCTCTCCTTTCGAGCCAGTAGGTCCGTCTTTTCCTCTCTCTCCCTATAAGAGCGATGGAGGGATGAAATCTGTCAAAAAAATGACTCAAACAAAACCACCTAAAAAAGTATGCATAAACTCACACTAATAATGCAGAATATGATTTTTTTATATTTTTTGACAATATTTGCGGTGAAATATTGGCTAAACATGTTTTTATGAGAAGCACCCAAGTGAACAGATGATGGTCCTCACAGTAAGAGAGTGGTTTTTTATAGTAGAGCTTTTTGATTCTTTTAATCAATGAAACATCTGATTTTGACTTCAAAACAGCATATAGTGCTGTCCATATAGTCTTACTTGGCCTCCTCTCTCTCCTATGGGTCCTATTGTGCCGACCTCTCCAGGCAAACCAGGCTCTCCCTGAGACAGAACAAGACACAAAGAGAAAGACAGTTGCGGCATGTGTCCTTCTGTCAAGGCTCTGTCTAGACTGATTTAAGTTTTACATTCCGCACCCGTTCACCAGGAGGTCCTCGTGGTCCTGGAGGGCCTTCGTTTCCCTGAGAGAGAGAAACTGGCATTGATGAAAAAACAAAATGGATTTCCAACCCAGATCTGAAATCACTAGCCCACACTACCCTTTACCTTCGGTCCGGGTTTACCAGGGAAGCCGTCCTGTCCAGGTTCTCCTCTTTGGCCCTAAACAGAAATACAAAATCATTAAAACAGACTGCAGTACAACAAAAAACACATATGAAAAGGTCAAACACCAGATCTGGCCTTTAGATGGGTTTATAAATGATGAAGTTCACAGTTTGCCTCATTAAAACGGCTCTAACCTTCTCGCCGTTGTTTCCAGGGAAACCATCCAATCCATCTTTTCCTGGCAGGCCCTGAAAAATAATTACCATCGTTTCAAGTTTTTTTACACTAAAATGAGTGTTGAGTTAATAGGGCAACAGACTATTTGAGTGTGTGGACAGTATGTTTGAGGTCTCAGGGTAAAATCTCACTGGTTTTCCTGGTTCTCCTAGTTTTCCCGAGAAGCCCATTTCACCAGATAATCCCTGTGAGAACAAACAGATGAATTTAATATCATCTGCTACTATTATGTGGCTCTAGCTCAGTTTGCAAATAAAAACAATTGAAAAAATGAATTATGTTGGCGAATGTAAACTTACTGGAGGTCCTATTTGTCCAGGGCTGCCTGGAGGGCCAGAAGGCCCCTGAGGACCCTAAATAAAAACACAAAAATAAAAAACTGAAATGTTGAAATTTGACATTCAATTGCTTTTAATATCTTTCTGTAATCAATGCATTCACATGTTTTCTTTTTTTCTAAATTTTAACAATATTATGTTATTACTGTATTATATGATCACTGCATGTGATTCTACCAGAAACTTGTTCATTTTGTTAGTTAGAGTTCACTGTTACTCTAGACTTTTTTCATTAAGATAATAATGTTAAGAATGTCATATAGCCATAATACTATTTTTGCATAGCATACTAAGTTTCCATATGCATGAAATAAGTAAAAGACCTACTATTTGTTAAAATATTTGTTGTTGCATTCTGCCTTAAAATACAGTATACGGTAAACAGTATGTTATCATTCCATTCCAAACATTAAAAAAACACACTTGACAGGAAAAATAAAGGGCAAAGAGCTTGACTCAGACTAAGACTGAATGTTCTGGTGGTTCTTACAGGTGGTCCTGGAAGACCATCAACACCTGGCAATCCTGCATCACCCTTTTTACCCTGGAGAAACAGAGAACAGGATGTCTCATCAGTCCATGTTAGGTAAAAGTCATCAAATCAAGTAGATAAGGAATAAGGAGATATTTTATACAAAAATATTAATAAATATTAATAAATAAATAAAAACATTTTTTATAGAATTCTGAAATTGGTGCAATAAATTATAATTCAAATAAACAGAGATAATAAGAAATATGGAGTAACAAGATATTTTATGAAGTCAAATTAAATAAAACATATTTCTTTTTTAATCGCTTGGTCTGATTGATAATACTTTTTTTCTGATTAAAACTATACTTTTTATTTATCCATTTTTTTTACTATTGTTTTTGTTTTTAATCCTGATTTTACTTCAAGCAACTGATTTCACTTAGTGCACTTAAAAAAAAATCATATATTAATATAAATATACACATGTAAATACATGTAAATATTTTCAAAATATATACTGTACATATGTAACTATGTAACTATATATTTTCTTTTATTTTTTATTTTTATTTTTTTCTCCATAAAGTTAAACAGTCAAAACTACTATATTAATACTAGGAAAAAATTTATTCCATGTGAGAGGTCAGGTAGAGTTCATGATATTTCTGTCTGACATCTATTGTGACTACAGAATGAAACCTTCCATCCATCAGAGGCACATAGCTATAGTCAATAGAAATTAAAAATATGTACTGTAAGCAATAACATTTAAGATCTTATGAGTGATAAGATTTCTTTCCCATGTTTATATATTTCCAACAGAAACAGGATGCTGGGTCCAAACATATAAAGGGGGCTCATATTTTACATTATAAAAATGCCAACAGCCTATATTTATAATCACAGTCACAGACTATGATTTGCAACTTCCTATAGCACAGCTAAGTTGGTTTTAGGGATATGTTCAATCCAGAGTACACTTGCATATACATAGGCTCAAAGCTTTTAGACCTAGACTAAATGCCATAAAAATACAATTTTGTTTAAGAGTTTTAAGATGTGAAGAGCAATGGGGGATAAAATTCTCTCCCTCACATTTATGTTTGTTCAGAAAATAAAGTCACTGATGTGGTACAACATGCTAACATTTTAACGTTCCCTGCTTCTGACACATAAGATAGGAAAGGTATTTTGAAGGCATTACAGAGATAAGAGCTTAAAATAGAGGGAGAGAGACAGAGAGAGAGAGAGAGAGAGAGAGAGAGAGAGAAAGCAAGAGAGAGAAATTCTTTAATTTCTAATTTTTATTTACAGAGTTTTTCCATTTAGTATTTATATTTTATTTTATTTCAATTAACAAAACTGTTTTAAACAGCTTTAGTTAACGGAAACAACACTATGCTAAACATATTTTGTGGATCACAGAAAGAAGTAAGTCATATTGATTTGGTACAACATGAATGATGAATAAATAATGACAGAATTTTCATTTAAGAACTATACTCTTTCTGTTTGCTTGATTCTTCCTTTTTAGAGCTGTTATTCAAATGCCATTATATTTTTTTGGCAAGAAACAATGTTTTCCAAGTATTCCGAGAACATTTTAATGATGCTGTCATCTCATCAACTGGAGGGCATCTGAGAGTGTCAGGCCATTTGAACATCTCCTGTCTCTCTTCCTAACGAGCTCCTCACTTTAATCTGACCCCACAGAGCACTCAAAAACACCAGAACATGCACTGAGAGCCGCGCTTTCCAGCCAGTCTCTATGGTTACCACAGATCAGGTTCTAGAACATCTTAAATCTCCATTAAAAGCAGCCGAGATGGATTGTTTCAATAAAATACAAATGTCCTACCCTTTGTCCATTCTCACCCGGCTCACCGGCCAAACCTGGAGGTCCAGGTGGGCCCTGAGGAAAAACAGCATAAGCAATAGGCTCATTAAAAACAATGAAGTCCACAACAGTAGCAGACACAGAAAATATGATGCTTCTTATTTTCATAAACAGACCGTGAATGTGATATTTTATGATGTACAGTGACCCCAAAAAGTATCTGGAGTTTGAGTTTAACTTTATTGTCCATTCTGTTCTAAATGTGTCGTGTAAATCTATAAATACATCCACATAAGTGCTTACACATTGCCACAAACACAGAATTGAACAGAATTACACTAACTACATCATTTTCAACCTATTAAAATAGCGCAATAATGCCAACCATTTTCTTAAATTGATTTACTTTAAAATGTGATGGGAGGAATGGATCAGGCAACCAGCTTTTTTCAAAACTAACTTCACTTTTCTTCTTCAATGTGCATTTTTAAAACAAGCGTTACATGACAAAATATGTCTTACAGGAGGTCCAGGTGGGCCGTCCGTTCCCGAGGGCCCTCGTTCACCAGGGACGCCCTGAAAACACAAACACAGAGAATGCTCAACAAAAGCGAAGTTTAAGACTCATCTTCTCAACAGATTGCACACTTACAGTCTCCCCCTTGAGTCCTGCCAGCTGAACCTGAGGAAAAACACAGATGAAGCCGTGAGCAACTCAATGCTGCTATTTTACAACACGATTTATTCAATTAATAAATCAAACGTCTTACCGCATCGCCAGGTAATCCACCAGGACCTCTTTCACCCTATCAGCAAACACAGTGTTTATTAAAGGGGTCATATGATGCGATTTCAAGTTTTCCTTTCTCTTTGGAGTGTTACAAGCTGTACAAATCTTATTGAGACCAAACTTATAAAAAGTACTAAATATGCAGTATTTAATTATGTGCTGTATTCTGCTTCCAATTTTGCAATGATTTCATGAAATAAATGACTATTAGTTCAACACATATGCCTTTATGAGCACAATTAATTATTTTCATTGCAACAGTATGTCTCAATCTCCATTTCTATTCCATAATTTCTAATTTTATGTCCCATAAACAGCATACAGCATTCAAAAGTAATGCATCTTTGCCTAAACTAATCTTATTTTCCATGTTAAAATATTTAACATAATAAAACAGCTGTAAATAGTTCTGAAATATTGTTTGTTTGAGCATCCCAACCAGCCAAATACAGCGATATCAACACAACCAATGGCATGAGTTGGGGGCAAGACTATGTGTTTGCCAGCCAATGACAGATGGGGAGTGATGTATGAAAACCTGTACCAAAACAATATTTTTGTTTTTTTTTCAGTTCCATTTTTTTGACACTCGTGGCACAAATTTGCTCCATCTTTAACTTCTAAGTTAGTTTCAGGAAAGCCAAATTTGGCTTAAAAGCTCTCAGTGTGCGTGCGGGGGCGGACCGTCAGACAGACTGAAGAATGACGGCAACGCTCTACCGTGTGAAACTGTTCTTAGACCTGTCTGACTGCACAACGCCCCCACAGAACAGGATATATGGAGTCTGCATCAGCACTGTGACATCTGTTTGAGTTATTAGTCTGCCTGCATTCACTCTGTAGAAATATTCCCTCTGTAGCATTTGGATCTGCAGGTATGTACAGTACTTCGTGACAATGACTAGTTTGGCCTCCGTTCAAGTTATTCCAAAGCATTAAAACTAATACGGGGTGCTGAAAAGGGGAAGAAGAGCAGGAACATTGTCCCAGGCCTTTTAGTGGGTGGAAGGGGGTCTGCAATGACAGACTAAACTAGATTTTTACATTTTCTGAAGACAAAGTGAGTGCTGTGCATGCAAAACCTCTGTGACATGATTTTAGGAATCATTCACGTCTGTAGCACAAATGGTGCGGGACCTGCCAACCTTTAGTACTTATTAATACTAATACTAAGCCTAAGTAATGATATTTGTGGTAACAGTTGTTATGATTGACAGGTGTCAGTCATCCCTTACCCTTTCTCCGGAAGCTCCTTTGTCTCCTTTACCTCCAGTAACACCCTGATGAAAAACACGACACACTCAATATCTTACAAATGTCACAACGAAGAACACTGGATGCACTACGATCTGCCCTGAACAGTTGTAACACAAAATTGTGGATGCAAAGTCTTGATTTCAATTTGTTTCTGATGTTGTAATCATCTATTGAAGCCAGTTTCAACCTCAAAAAAGAAATAAGTAAAAACCAAACAAACAATAAAATACATCAATTAAAATTCAATAAAATAAAAAGGTTACTGTGAGGAAAAAAAATAAAAAATAAGAACTAAAGTCACAATGGGGAGATATAAAGATGCATTTAAGATAAATCATGTTGCAATTGTGAAATATAAAGTACCAGTTATTAATAAAGTCATAAGTAGATTTCTATTGCAATACTCTTGAGGTGGAAACAGGCTTTCATAATCATCGGTACATGGTTTAAATGCACAGATCATACTTACAGACACCCCTTGAGGACCCGGTGCTCCAGATAGACCAGCATCACCTTGGATACCCTAAATAAAAACAGGTCAAAAAAGCCAGATCATGTTAAAAACTACTAAGCACATCTAGCACAGTTCAGAAATTAGTATGTCACCAAAAAGTGATAAAAAAGAGAAAATAATGGAAAGAAAATGCTGTCAACAGTAAATGTACAGTGGAGTGTTTATTGCATTATTTACAGCTGCTTCTAAATTTGATGTTATGACTCAAAATGACAAAACAATTCCCCTGAAATTAATTATGAGGGGGCAAATATTGACAGTTAGAACATGCAAATTTCTGACACTAGTCTAATCAAGCATATCTTTACTACTCTGTCTAAAGGAGGTCTCACCTTTGGTCCGAGAGGTCCAGGTAACCCAGCATCACCTGCAACTCCTTGATCACCCTGTTCATCAACATGCCAATGTCAATATCAAAATATACCTTCAACCACATGCAAATATACTTTCTGTCACTCACTCTCTCTCCTGTATCGCCTTTTTTCCCAGCCAGACCAGGTAAACCGTCTGATCCCTAAAAAAATATCATAAATATTAATGTCACTTTAACTACAAATGCCATTTCGTGTTGTTTGCATATACACAAGTGTATCTTACTCTATCTCCTCTTTCTCCTCTGGCTCCATGTTCACCGCGCTCCCCGATGTCCCCCTGCGGAGAGAGACGGGATTTCAGCATGGCTTTAAAACAAGATGTCATAACTTTGGACATGGCCACAAGTGGCCCCTGAAATGTGGCCAAAAGTGGCCAAATGTGTTCCTGTGAAAAATCTGACCTTAGAAACCATATTTTTAAAACAAGACCATCAAACCAGCCAACCAAAAACTCACTGTTTTTGCTTGAAATGATCATCAGACATCACCACGCAAAGAATCCCATACCATAAAGGCATATCAATTATGTAGAAAGGCTTGTGAGATCATAAAAAGACAAAAAGAGGCCAACACTACAGTTAGTAGGCTATAGTTTTCTTCTGTTCAATACAATTAATCACACACTAATGCTAAACACCACTAAGGAACCCTAAAGAAATCTTTGCCATTATATCTTGCCTTTCAGATATCCCGTGCACTCCAGGGAATCTCCTGGAATTCTGAGAGTTGAACAGTAAAAGAGAAAAGCTTTTGTGACCTGATTATAGTAATGACTTCACACGCAGCAGCGGGCAGCTTGATAGCCTGTAATTACTCTCAAACTTCTTCACACTTTGATAAAGTCAACGGATAACTGACAAATGCCATCAAGAGAAAGTAATACAACAAAATAACCACAATCTTGAGAGCTGCTAACCCAGACAGCATATTGTCGATGCATGATTTGTTTGATTTCAATTTATTTCTAATGAAGTTATCTACTGATGCCAGTTTCCACCTCAGTGAAAAAAAGAGTACAATGTCAGTACAATAATCAGTACAGTATATGCAACTGACTTAAATGAACAATTCATAGACATCATAGATAAGCTATTGCTTTATGCACTGCAGCAAACATTGTGCAAAGATTGCGGACCGTGTTGAGATGTTGATTACTTAAAGAAGCATTAAAATAGTTCTGTCATGACAACTCTCGGAGGGATTAGCATGGTAATGTACATGACAATGTTAATGTATTTGGTCTTGGCGGAATAGATCTGCTACGCTGCTGCGGCAGAGCAAGTACCGAGACTTGCTACTGCCAATACATCCACGACATACCGCTGTGAGCATGTAAGAAATATTGCTGCTGCAAATATAACATACATGAAATAACCCCCATATAGCATACATGAATCACCTCATAGCAGATCTATACAGGTGGAGCTGGGGAAGGTGGAGGGTTTCTGAAGCAAGCTGCACCTGCTATGGCAATGCACTAGTCATATATTTGAATGTTGAGCAGCGAGCATTGGCTACCGTTACAGAAAAGTACCAATCAGCTGTGCCATGTGATAATGATGTCATTAGGTCAGATTGAGTTAGACCTATCGGACTGCGCCATCTAGAGTTTCATGCCAGAACTCTGTATTTTCAGTAAACACTGTATATTGTAACAATACTTTGCAAGATGTGGTAACATCTTTCTGCATGGACAACATGGCTCAACATTTCAAAAGCACCTCAGCTTCAATACAAACATTTTAGTGTGAAAAGATTGACAAAATGACCACAAAACAGGGTTTAAGAGAGACGGACAGAGCAACACCTCAAACACAAACATGCGTTTGTGACATCATGCATTTTAACTAGCCAACTCCTCCATATGCTGCTAGCTAACTTTATACTGTAACACATGGATAATTTGTGAGAACATAGACATGCATTCACATATACAGAATGAACACACATATACATATACGCATGGACACTCATGCAAATCATATGACATGTACACTGAGAAATACACACACAAGTAATTGAAAATCATCCATAAGAAAAAATTAAAGTTCTCTGAGGGGTTGCTTACTTTCCCAGGTAAGGTTCATCCTTTATTAAGTCTAGAGGATTTTTTGCCTAATTTATTGTCTGGCATGTAAAAAAAAACATCTTAGTATTTTTATCTTAAATCAAGATACAGTTACTTGAGAACCAAAACAACTTAAGATATCAAGTACTGCATCTGAAAAAAAAATACAACAAAATTAAGACAAAATATGACAACAGTGGATTTTTAGGTTTAGAACAAACAAAAAAGTTCTTTAAGTGTGGTCGCAAAAAAAATTATAATTTTCTGTTTTATTTTTTCTTAACCCACTAACAGAGATGTTTTGCTTGTTTTAAGCATAAACTCATGTCAGTTAAATTTTTTTTTTTAGAAAATAAGACATAATACCTTAAGTTCCCTCTCAGTCGGTCACTCTCGACGTCACGTCGGAGGACCGACGAATTGGGATCTCGCTTAGAGGTTCTCAAGTAAACATATCTTATTGATAAGCAAATTTTTGGGTGAACTATTATTTTAATTGTGTGGACACAAGCTGACGATCTGTCTGTGTGTGGTTATTTCTGTATATTTTGACAAAAACTGATATATTACGTGCTCTTCGCCATGAATTTCTCTTACATATATACTCTCATTCTGGCGTAATAATCAAGGAACTTTGCTGCCTTAGCTACCGCCAGACCCGGAGATCGGCTGAATGGATTTGAAAACGGTAAAACTCAACTGTTTAACTCTAGGGGAGTTGGAAAATTAGCCTATTTTCAAAAATAGAAGAGTGTTCCTTTAACCTGCTCAAGCACAGCATTTGCTGTTTTTAGGTCAGCAAATTCCTCTGACCAATCCAGCATGCAACATTTTTCTAGCTGTGGGTGTTATCTGGCATCTAAATTTGGCCGAATAGTGACCGAGTGCAGTGGAAATCTCAAAATACAACTCCTTTCCAGAAGTCTTAACAGACTGTGAATCACCATATTCATCATACGAGTGAAATATTACAATAAGCACAAGTAAATGTTTAAATAATGACAGTTGTCATTCTATTCCCAACACCACAGTCATCTAATTCTCCTGTATGAATCTCTGACTGATAGAGGTTAATTATGATATTATTCTGAGGTATTTATGCCCTGGAGTCAGCGGAGGATGTCTGTTTTAAGCGCTGTGAGTGGGTGCTTGGTGCACAGCCTCTTGTTTTGCATATCCTTTGAGGTTGGAAGACCCATAATTCTGCATTTCAAAATAAGGTACTTTTATTGTTTTTATCCTCAAAAGAGTGGCAGTTTCCATAGTTTGTCTCTCTTTGTTCTTTTGTAATTCTAGACTTTGGATTCAAGGGAAGAAAGACGTTTTTGATGAATTGGCTTCTTGCTCGCATGAAACGACAGAAACACACACACGTGCACAAACAAACACACATACATTCACTGTTTTGTCTATCTTGAGGAGTTTGGCTGTTAAATTCATGACCTTACCTTCTCTCCTCTATCACCTTTGATAGAGATAGCCTGCAAATAATCAATCAACACCAATCAATTACTCTAGGCCCAGAAAGACAGAAACAGCAGACACATTTCTAATATACAGCAATGTGTGTGATAATATGGATATCGTACACGCTCTCCTTTCTGCCCTTTGGGTCCTGGCGGTCCTTCTGCCCCTTTAAGACTAGGATCCCCCTGCAGATGCAGAGTTTTATGCAAAGAGCCAATGAGGAACCCACTGAAAATGCATCCAGAGATGTGCAAAAGTGTAATAAAGTCATTGTGCGATGCTGTGATACTGAAACGTTATTTGACCTTTTCACCCTTGGGCCCCGCGACACCCGGTAGACCTGTCTCTCCCTGCAGGATGGGACAGATTGAGAGAGATTGCAGAAGAGAGAGATGAGGGGATTCATTTTGAAAGACAGAGGTCAGAAATAAGAGTGTGTAAAGAATAAATGCATTGCAAAACGAAACTGAATGCATTACAAAAGATTAAAAAATTGATATCCAGCCTTATAAATAAAAATGTTCCAGGTTAAATAATAATAATAATAATAAAAATATCCATCAAAAGCATCTGAGACATACTGTTCATTAACACAGAAAATATTTTTGACTGAGTAAAAGCAAACCAATATACTGAATGTCTACAATGTGCAAACATAATGTGCAGCCCATGAATTATATACTCTTATAATTTATATTTAATGATGGCTTACATAAATTCTGAATAACTATGTTATTTAAGCTGCTGAAATAATAGGTTCTAATTTTATTATTTAGTAATTCCTTATTTTTTGTATTATTATCATTTTATTTTGGAAAATTTTACATAATAATTATACTTTTTTATTAATTATCTTTATAAAATTGTATCACACTAGTCTAATGCTAACATGTTTATTTGTTGACGTTTTGTGGCTATAAAAGTGCATTTTATTTATTCCAGTGCATTGACTTCCATTCCATCATTCCATAGGTGCATTAGGGCTGTCCAAAAAAATTTTGAATTTCGAATATTCGTCGAAATTAAAATAAAAATCCACATTCGAACGCAAAAAAGTTGCATTGGAATTTTAGGTGTGCGTTAAGGAGGAAGCCTTATCAGTGGCACAGTGTCATTGCATTTTAATGTTTTTGTTAGCCTATCCAGTTGAAGCCACTAGATGCGGCGCTGCTGCGTTGTTAATTACAAATATTGTGGGGAAAAGAGATCTTCAATGCGAAGAAGATGTAGTTTACGTCAAAACTGAAACCAAGCCGTTCACACAGAAGGCATATTTCGCACATTTTCTAGAGGGACATCTATCACCGTTGCACTCGCATATCGCACAAAAGAGTCGCATGTTTAGAAAGCCATGTAAAATGAATGCAAGTTCAACTTTGAAAAAACACATCTTGTGACTTTATGGCAGGGTTTTTTTCCCCATCCCATTGCAACTCGTATTTTTGAATGAAAAATGTACTCTGTGTGACTGGCTTTCCGCCCTTTGTATTAATACATGATAATGTTTTGTTTATAGTTTTTTAAGTAACTTAGTTAATTATAATTGGTTTATAAACATTATTTTAAACATATATTTTTTCATAGACAGTCCTGTTATCTTAAGCTTTGAAGAAACGTGCATTAGTAAGATTTTCCTCGATGCACCCTCTTGTGGCCTCAGAAGAGAATACAAAAGCTTTTCCTCACCCTGACTGAAATTATGCATTTTAAATTCGAATATAATTCGAGTTTTGATAACATTTAAGTACAAAATTCGAATTTAGTTTTTCAGCCATTTTGACAGCCCTAAGGTGCATTACTGTACATTGTTGCTTGTATTACAAAGTGAGGGATGAGCTTTAATTATTTTCTGTGGTAATCAATAACATGATCACAGATGGTGCTAACAGAACCCAAAAAAGTATTTAATATTAACATGACCTAAATGTCTCCAGCACATGACTTCAGAAAAAAAAGCTATTTAGCTCATACACTGTAAATAACTTTGGTTCCTATATCATAAGGCTGATATTCAATTTTTTGCATGTTAAACATAGGGGTTCACCAGCTTTAAGAGTGTGACCTTTGACCTGGAATGTCTTACCCTTTCCCCTGCAGGACAGGAGCAGTTGACCGCGGCTGGTTTCTTCTGCTCAGCGCTTGTTGGTTTTGGGGTGGGCAGTGGGAGTGGGGGGGGCTCAGTCACCAGAGACTGTTCACACTGAGTGAGAAGAGAAAGTGAACGCAGAAACCGAAAAAGACAGAATGTGTTATGAAAGAAAGAGAGAGGAAAGGAAGAGGAAGCAGCTTCAGATGTTCAGTATTATGAGTATTACTATATTCTGAACTCTGGACAACGAATAATCCCCATCTTCATCAAGGACTCAAAACAAAGATCTTTGAGCCCTTTGGAGAACTTGTCCTGTTCGAAACCGTATGTTTTCACATTTCTATCCATGTGATGACATAATGAGGTGAGAATGAAGGTTTGTATGCGAGTCAGATGCACTTACTGGGCCACCGGGAATATCACAACACGTCTCTTGCTCAGACTGTTTGCCATCACAGTAGATCACCATCCTCTGGAGGTCAAACTATAGAGGAAACACGGGCAGAAACACAGGAACTGGTTGTATTAGCTGATTTCAGCTAACTTAAAAATTCATAAACGCATCACCATTTATTCATATTTGGGGTTAGTCAGTATCTTTGATGTTTTTACCAAGTTATTCCAATTTGATTAAAATATGCTCTTACATAAATCTTGCCTATCCTACAGGTTCCTACTATTAATACTGAATCCAGTTAATATTTTATGGAATACATTTTTTTCAGGATTTCTTTGGTAACACTTTACAATAAGGTTCCATTAGTTAATGTTAGTTAATGTCTTAACTAACATGAACGAACAATGAACAATACATTTATTACAGTATTTATTAATCTTTCTTAATGTTAGTTAATGAGAATACAGTTGTTCACTGTTAGTCCATGTTAATTCAGAGTGCATTAACTGTTAACAAGCACAACTATTGATTTTAATAATGCATTAGTAAATGTTGAAATTAAACATGAACTAAGAGTAATAAATGCTGAAGAACTATTGTTCATTCTTAGGTCGTTATCTAAAGTAGTTAACTAATGTTAACTAATGAACCTTATTGTAAAGTGTTACCATTTCTTTTTATTAGAAAGTTCAAAAGAACAGCACTTATTTGAAATGTTAATTTCAAATATTATAAATTTAAAAAAAAGTCTTTACTGTCATTTTTGATCAATTTAATGCATCCTTGGTGAATAAAATAAAATAAAAATATTTCAATCCTACTGAAGCTAGTGTAACATCAAATCATAAATCACTTATTTAATCATATTTTTATTTTTTTAGAGATTACCATGATGGTATTCTCTGAAGAACCATGCAAATATTAACATATATATGAAAATGATAATCAATCAGTACCTTAGTGTAGCATGGTATTATAATTTGATACAATCATGGTACAACAATTACAGCACTTTTAAGCAAGGGAGACTTAATCTTGCATAAAAATGCATGTTAATAAACCATAACTATTTGCTTACATCAATGGGAACGCTGTCATAGAGTCTCTTGCCGATGACAGTCTTTCCCTGGATGTCGATGTCTTCTCTTTCCTCTATGGGCAGCGTCTCAATGTGCTTGCAGTCCAGGAACAGGGACACAGACTTGGAGTCCACCCTCATGCCGATCTTATGCCAGTCACGGTCAAACAGACTCTCCACCTCTGGGTTCTTAAACACGGCCCGGACCGCATCCTTTGTCAGGCCCACGGCGTTGTACTCCACCGCCTTGTTCTCCCCGTCCAGACGGATGGAGACCTGGAGGACATTCTCATTACAGCTTGATCAACTTACTATAGCTTTATGATGTTTTATGTTATAAACGAATTCAAAATCAAATTGATTTTAAAAATAGAACTTTTGAAGAGGTTCTTCAGTTTCAGTTTCTCTGTACAGCCCTGCTGTTTCAGCCCCATTCAGGACACATTGATACACACCTGCGGGATGCCGTATTTGTCATAGACCTGCCACAGGTACCAGTCTTCTTTACGAGAGGTCTTCCTGAACTTAAATGTGGTCACAAAGGCATACTCATCAGGCAGACCCTGAGGTAACACATCTCTACAACACAAGAATCAAAGAAAAAAATAAATGTGTATCACCTTGAACAGTATATTGTCGGAAAACAAACAATGTAAATGAAGTAAAAGTACATAGTGTGATTTTTGCATATATCATTGAAATAAATGATTCTCTTACTCTGTTCGTTGGACGATGGGCATTGTACCGAGCCTGACATAGGGGGTCTGACCTGGCTCAAATTTTTCTCCAAGAAAATCTCTTACATTGAAGTACTCCATCAAATCAAATCCTGGTGAAAAGGTAGTACATTTGTAATAAATGAAGCTATTATTAAGTAAACTGTACTGTACCCTGAATAAAATATGTCCCTGTAGATTATTACTAAAATGTCTTTCCATCAACGATCACTAGGTGGAGTCCATGAGACAGGTCAACAAGACAACATGCTGTAAATGAACTTTCTTAAATCGTTCCTCAACCAAAGGATTTACTTTTATAAAAATTGATCATTAAGAATAAAATATCAGACAGCAATAAACCACAAAAGGCATATGTGCAATGACATAGGTTCAACTTGATTTAGCACATTTCATACATGGAAGTAATTGAAAAATCCAAAAACACAGATACAGACATCAAGTTAATATTATATCACAAGTTAAAATACAAATTAACACAAAATAATGTGTGAAATGAATAAAGCAATCATAAATTACTTATATAATACTATTATTATATTTATATTATTATAATTTAGGGGACCTGTATCTAGATTATAATATATATATATATAGAGAGAGAGAGAGAGAGATAATTATACAATTATTAAAATACATTTAATAGACAATTGTTATTTGATTATATTCAAATATTTTACCACAAAATGCCACGACTCACCAATCAAAATCAAGTATTCCAGAAATTCATGTAATACAGAAAGGGCAATAAATTAAAGAAAAAGTAAAGAACAAAATTACTGCATAATTGGTCACCTGTGATTTTAGCGTTAAGTTTCTGCGAGCAAAATGTCACACCTTTTTCCACATCCACACAAAAAAGTCCACGCCTCTGGGATCAAACATGACATCATTGTTTGTTTAAAAATAGTAGAGCTATGCTGTGTGTGTGGATATCAGCCCACTAATTAATTCTTCAGATCCGCAGCCAACACTCATTAAACTGCACTTGCTGCACCAGATGTTTTAAAAAACAACCTTTCATGTGCAATTATGTCACTAGATCTCCAGCATGTGTGTGTGTGTGTGTGTGTGTGTATCTACTGAGGTTAGCAGTCTTCCACCCTATTATAGCAGCCAAACCAGGGCGCTCCTATAACCAATATATAGTCTGTCGCCATGACGATGCCAGTGGGGCCCTGGGCGTTGCCTGAGGAGGCAATTCAAGGGTCGATTTGGAAACACACTAATGCTGGTCTCAAAAGAGCTCTGGCTACATGACGCTGATGGTTTGTGTATATGACGCCTGTGAGGGTCATGTAGAGAGATCTCACTTTCACTTGATGAACTCTCATGTTGTTTTCCTAGGGCAGGTGTGTTCATGTCAGGAAGCTGAGGTTGTTTTAAACAGTCTAGAGAGAATGATTATTATTTGAACTGAAGGATGTTTGGAGTTGTTTAACTCGGTGGTAATGTGAGAACGTGCCAGTCTAGGCCAGACGGTGTGTGCGTCTGTGTCTGTAGTAGAGTAACAGGTGGTTACAAACGTAGAAAGCAGATACTGTATTAAGAGCGAAGTCGAAAAAACAGCATAAAACAACAAAAGCACTTTGTTTTTTCATCTTTGCGTTCCCAAAGCACAACGAATCCCTGATGGTTTCTGGCAGACCAGCATCACACATTCTCACGTTCCATCTGTGCTAGTTTTTAATTGACATCTTTGGCCGTTACGGTACATCTCAATGTTTTTGCGGCCTTTTGTGCCATTAACCCTGTTTCAAGTTAAAAGTAGTTGAGGATTTTAAAACAATGGGCCAATTAGATGAGTCGATATTGAAACTGTTTACTCACCCTCATGTCTTTCCAAACCTGTATGACTTCAAAACACAAAAGATGATGTATAGCATTTCAAAAGTAGCTCATATGATTTATAAAGAAATTAAGAAATTATTTGCAAAAGTGTTGTTCTAAAATTGCTTTATCATTCACATGACGCTGCTGATCAATAATACCGTAAAAATGGTAATATAGTAGTATTACAATTTAAAATAACAGTTTTCTATTTGAATATATTTTAAAATATCCTTTATTCCTGTGGTGGCAAAGCTGAATTTTCATATTTTTTATTTTTTTGTGGAACCTGTGATACTTTTTTCAAGAACAGCATTCACTCAAAATAAAAATCTTTTGTAACAATTTAAGTCTTTAATATTACTTTTTAGCAAATTAACATCTATACTGTATGTTAATTTCTTTAAAAAATAAAAAATAAATAATATGCTCACACTTTTGTTACTAATTATTATTGTGTATATTTTTATTTTATTTAGAATAAATACTGTTCTTTAAAAAAAAAATACATATATATATATATATATATATATATATATATATATATTTTATGCCAGACTAGAAGTAAATAAACTGCTATTTTTTTCTTGTTGTATTCGAAAAAGTCACGCAGGTTTGGAACAATTTTTTTTTATTTTTTTACTTTAACATGCGATTAACTCAAGTGACCTCATTAAACTTTAATTTGTAGCTTCTGAACCTCTGAAAGTTTATCATCTTAAAAATAAGACTAATTTATCCAGGTGTTCTCTGTGCACTAGTATATGGTTTGATCAGTTTGATGTATTCATTTGAGCTGTTTGATTTCACACCATGTTCTACTCTTCCTCCAGCTGTTCGCTTCTCATCAGCTCATTTCCACTACTCTCTGTTTGTCTCAGCATCTCCATGGGCCATGCACGACTCTCTGCCGGTAGCGTTTCTAAGCCTGGAGGAACCTGTAATTTGGGCCTGGCGAGTGAAAGCGTATAATCACGACCGAGTCTTATTTTAAACAGTGAGAGAGCGAGGAAGGCTGGGTGGGTTCTGTGGGCCGGCACAGATGAGTGCGTTCCAACTCGTGTCTTGATCCGAACACATGGGCACTTCTGCACACAACGTAACAATCTGGAAACCAGACCAATGTCGCCGCATGAAAACTCTACGGCTGCGCTTTACACACGGTCACAGTGCGTCAGCATGACAAACGTCTCTGTGGTTCAAGTCTGTCTTTGATCCAGACTCATGTGCTAAAGGATCTCTTGGTGTTTTCCCTGCAGCATCTACCAGCATAAGATTTTTTAAGGTGCTGAAAAACAACGCGTCTTAATTTTACGTTCTATTTCTTTGTACCCTATATCAGGTTTTGAAATGCGCCGATCTTTTGAAAATCTCCCGCTCAAAAAGTGCTGCCTCGCCATGCGCATGCGCAAAACCTGTACCTCAAACAGCACTGTCAATGCCAGTCATGAATTCGACCAAAAAAATGGTATATATCAAGACGAGTGCACTCATATTACTATGAATGGAAGAATGTGCAACACACAATATTGCGGAATATCTCCAAAGAAAAGTGGTGCGTCCAGAGTCGCATACTAAGTAGGTAGGATACTACAATTTGAAATTTGTACTTGCTTTGTAACCATTAAAAAGTATGTTTTATATAGTATGAACATGGGCACATGCTACATCTGCCTTGTTGTTACTGTCACGTGACCTACCAGTATCAGTTGGGTCGCTTAATAAAGAGTAAAGTGTAAAAATAGTAAAGTGTTTATCGAATGCACACTTCAAAATCTCGGCACAAGTAGTAGGTAGTAGGTTGTCTGGTAGGTTGTCTCTTCACCTACTGTTTTTCAAATACTATGAATTCAGTCATACTACTCTTTAGGCGTACTGTTTTTCTCATACTACATTGTAGGGAGGTATTTTTCAGTGTCCCGAAACGTTCAGTGCCCCACGCTTGCGACTGCACGTGCGCATTGGCTGGTCCTGAACTATATGCTTGTTTAATGCCATTTGAGCTTAAGAAACAGCATTTATGAGATATTTCAAATTAGCAACAAAATCTAACATGCACTTTGTTTTTTAAATGTGAGCGTGGCAAGCATTTGTTTTAGATTAAACCCTTAATGGTTTAATCTAAAACAACGTCTTTAATTGATTCTTCCGTGCATTTCTGCCATATGTACATTAACTGACATAGTCACCAACAATATTGCGGAATATCTCCAAAGAAAAGTGGTGCGTCCAGAGTCGCATACTAAGTAGGTAGGATACTACAATTTGAAATTTGTACTTGCTTTGTAACCATTAAAAAGTATGTTTTATATAGTATGACCATGGGCACATGCTACATCTGCCTTGTTGTTACTGTCACGTGCCCTGCCAGTATCAGTTGGGTCGCTTAATAAAGAGTAAAGTGTAAAAATAGTAAAGTGTTTATCGAATGCACACTTCAAAATCTCGGCACAAGTAGTAGGTAGTAGGTTGTCTGATAGGTTGTCTCTTCACCTACTGTTTTTCAAATACTATGAATTCAGTCATACTACTCTTTAGGCGTACTGTTTTTCTCATACTACATTGTAGGGAGGTCTTTTTCAGTGTCCCAAAACGTTCAGTGCCCCACGCTTGCGACTGCACGTGCGCATTGGCTGGTCCTGAACTATATGCTTGTTTAATGCCATTTGAGCTTAAGAAACAGCATTTATGAGATATTTCAAATTAGCAACAAAATCTAACATGCACTTTGTTTTTTAAATGTGAGCGTGGCAAGCATTTGTTTTAGATTAAACCCTTAATGGTTTAATCTAAAACAACGTCTTTAATTGATTCTTCCGTGCATTTCTGCCATATGTACATTAACTGACATAGTCACCATCATTAAACTGCACTTGCTGCACCAGATGTTTTAAAAAACAACCTTTCATGTGCAATTATGTCACTAGATCTCCAGCGTGTGTGTGTGTGTGTGTGTGTGTATCTACTGAGGTTAGCAGTCTTCCACCCTATTATAGCAGCCAAACCAGGGCGCTCCTATAACCAATATATAGTCTGTCGCCATGACGATGCCAGTGGGGCCCTGGGCGTTGCCTGAGGAGGCAATTCAAGGGTCGATTTGGAAACACACTAATGCTGGTCTCAAAAGAGCTCTGGCTACATGACGCTGATGGTTTGTGTATATGACGCCTGTGAGGGTCATGTAGAGAGATCTCACTTTCACTTGATGAACTCTCATGTTGTTTTCCTAGGGCAGGTGTGTTCATGTCAGGAAGCTGAGGTT